TCCGAGTTCGATGAAGTGTGATCTATATTTTTCGTGGTCGTCCAATCGATTTCATCGATAAAGATTATCGTTGGTGCATAATGTTTAGCAAGATCGGTGAGTACCTACATATACCAATATTTTTTTTATTCCATTTTGTTTCGGTATATTTAAATTTGCTAATATATAAGAAATCAACTTGTAACTCGTAAGAATATATGAGTCCTGATGATTCTGTGAGTAATTTTATGTTTCATAATCTTATTTTTTACAGTTTTGTTCTATTCATGTAGGCTAATTATTGTATTACTAAGTGTTGTAATTTTTTATATAATTGAAAGTTTTAAAACTTCATCTGTATAACAATATTTAACAGTACGAAAACTTCAAAAAGAAAATTCTTTTTTAAGTGTGTGTTTCTGTTACGGGTTAATAATGTAGATTATTTTATGTTCATAAAAACTTGTATCGAGAATGAAAAAAAGTATCTAATAGATACGATACATATAATTTTGATTATAAAGACATAGTACTAAAATTTTATAACTGTACTATTTATTTATCGATTTTTATCGATAAATTTTATCTTTTCATCTTTTCTCTTAAACTTTAGAATCTAAAATTTAGATGAATATAGAAAATAGTATTCATTAGATGTTTAAAATTATGAGTGTCCATCATTGTCGATTGTGAAAATAAATTGATATTTCGAAAATCGTAGACATATATCATTCGACTTACACGAATGTATTTTTCTGAATCTCCTCTCCATTTGCTGATAACTGAACTAGAAGTGATATTAAAGAATGTCGATTGACATTTGGTTGCGACTGCTTTCGCAAGCATCGTCTTACCTGTTCGAGGGTATTTTTTTATCAATGGGTGTTATATAATTTTCATATAATTACATACCAGTTCCCGGTGGACCGTATAATAATACGCCTTTGCAAAAACCAAGTCTTCTATTAAACAAGCTTGGATATTTCATGGGATAAAGTATGGCTTCTTTTAATAACATTTTGCAATCTTTCAATCCCTTTACGTCATCCCAATGAACATTCAAGTTTTGTTGCACTATTTCCTAGAAATTATTACTTATGTATATAATATTATTGTATCATTTAGACTCTATTTTATTTGTTTTCTTGCTGTACACATGGATTATACTTGTAATTATACTTGTAATGACCGACTTTTCTTTCGATGATTTGGATTTGTCAATGTAATTGTAACGAAAGCTATACTTTATTAGAGAGAAAGTAAACGTAATTTCTGCTCAAAAATTATAGTATGTATCATTTTTTTCATTTCTTACCCGTGACATAACATCTGCAATTTCTTTTAGTTCAGAGCTAAGTGGATAGAGATCACCAATAGGTTTCAGTAGTCTCTCATTATTGATGAAAGTTTCATCGGACATTGGCACTTGTATAGCGACTCGATCGCCACTCTCCGCGGGAAAAATCGGCGTAACCGTCATACCAAGATTCAATTCATTCCATGTGGAAATGGTATGTTTTTGTGCGACTTTATTTTTGCTAATATTGTTACATTCCTCGGTAACGCGACTATCCTCTTGCTTTGAATAGATTTTCGAAACTCTTTCTGCTCTTTTGTTGCTATTACGAAAGTAGACATAAAGTAGCTTCGATTTTATCGAATTTATCGAGTTTATCGTAAAGAAATTGGCATCTTTCGCAAATTAGGAAATACAAGTAAAACTATTTTTTAAATTATCAATAATATATACACGCATATACACATACATATACATACTGCATTTTCTTATTTTTACTAAGAAATGAGAAAATACGGTATTAAAAAATTCTAAAAAAATTCTGAAAAAATTCTGAAAAAATTTTCCGCTCTACACAAAAGCGATTGGCAAAAACTTTCGGGACATGTATATTGCATTTTTAATAAATTGTCAAAACGATTGAATCATATGCTGGATTTTACGATTCTGAATAATGAATTATATTTCTTACACATTTGGAGCTACGTTACCAACTTCTATCTTCTTACACAACTTGGGATACTTATTGTATTTGGCGTAATGATAATCGGTATATTCAAGAATGATAGTTTCGAGATCAATATTGTCGCACACGTGAATGTCTCGGGAGAGTTGAGCTTCTTTGAAGAGACTTTCCGCTGTACTGGAATAACTATGAGAAACACATCGATGCAATATGCATAATTCTCGTTTTATAACTATTTATGCTATTACGTAAAGTTTGCAGTACTTATTGAATTAAAGAATTATAATATAATAAAATTGATTAATATTTGTTTAAAATATTGAAACGTTTATAATTGGACTAGCTTTCTGAATAGAAATTTTCAAGTTTTTATTATTTAAATTATGTAAGATTGAAGCTTTTGACCAAATATTCACTCACTCGTAGTATTATTATTTTTTTTATATTTATTGTTTATATGAATATAATACACGATTTTAACATTAACATTTAATTGATATATGTATTTCAAATAGTTGAGAGTATTAATTAAACGAGTATTAAACGCAAATATAAATTTTTGCTCACCCTTGCTCTCGTAAAAAAGCAGCGATGAGATAAACGAGATGACGTCGACGTTCTTGGATACGTTTCTCTTCCTAATTTACAATTAACATATGTATTCATCATTGAATTCATAATTCAATATATTTACTTTTTTAATCTTAATATACAATTTGAATATTGTAATCGATTTTTATATCTGAATTATGGAGTAATTCGTTCGCGTGTCATTGTCGATCATTATAGTGATTATTAATTAATGCTTCGGTACTTTCGGAATATAAAGTTAACATCATATTTTTTCAATCAGCGCACGGTATCGATAATCATACAATTGCCAATAATCATCATAATCGACTGAATAATAAAGTCGAATACTATATATATTTTTATCGATTGATTTAATATTACAAGCTTTTATTTTTAATTTCTCTCACGTGTTTTCCGCGCATAAATGTACCTGCCGAAAGGCGCCAAACTATCTTGGAGTTTTGAATCGTAATACACAAATACGTTCGATATGGGGTGCGTTCCGATTATTCCGAGTTACGCATGAAGCGCATAATGCATTATTTGTCCTTGTGTTCATCAAATAATAAAGGAAGATAAAATGATATACATCACGCGCTTCATGCAGAACGCACCCATAATCTTGTCTAGATTTCTGGAATCTAGACAAGATTATGGGTGCGTTCCAAATTACGTGAATTTACTCTTACCTTTTCGTGCGCCAAATGAGCGACTCGTCCGGCTGTCGCGTTCAACGACAAGCAGTCATTCATGACCCTTGCTCGGAAATCAAAGATTGTCGGAAGATATCGAAGGATACTGGAATTCCTTTCCCAACACAAGACCAACGTTATTATTCTTATCTCACTTATCGCTTATATTCCTTCGGTTGGACAGTGCACTTTTGAGGCTTGAAATACGAGCCAGTAGGCCGGTACAAGACGGTAGACGATATGAAACGTATCCTACGGTTGCCATAGCAATAATGCGATCGCGCATTCTCATAATTTACCATGGCGGAATTAGACACTTGATCGCTTTCTCTCTGTTCAACGTCCAAATATGTATTTAATTTCACTCATTTTATAAATGCAAAAATTTGTTGGGATTTCAAGCAACGCGAACGAACCTCTTAAGAAAAATGAAAGTCGCGCTAGCAGGGGCGCTTTTTTTATTGATTGTGCCGCATATTATGCGCAATACAACACCCTGTGTCTAATTTCGCCATGTAATATGTAATGATAATTTACAATCAGTAATTCTCGTCAAAGTTATGATATAAAAAGATATCATCAAGTAAGTTAATCAAAGAGATGAAAGTATATCGCAGTTATACGTTGAATCATAAGCGTTAAGTAGAGTGCAGTCAAACACGATTGTGATCGCCCGTCGTGTCGGCGCGCAAGAAAGAATAATGATAAATGATAATGATAAATGAGTAGCTATTGAGAGATGACGATGGAATGAATCTGAGAGAATACAATATACATATATAACTGCGATGACGGAAATTAATAGCTAATTTCACCCAAGTGTGGTATATTACACTTATTTACATGACCGTAAAAAATTAAAATTCTATCAAAATTATCTACACATTTATTTTACATTAATGATTATAATTACAGTTGTTATATATTTCTTAATAATATTCTTAGTAATATTCTAAAATTTAGTTTGGCTGCACAAACGCCTTATCACATTTTCAATGCTAGAATAATTCAATATAATTGGTTTAATCGATTTTAAGTTAAGAAAATATCTTGCGCAAACATACGTATATAAGCAAACTTCGGGATTGCTTTTAAATCCTGCAATCGCGTAAATCTCTAATATTCGTGGACATCCTATGTAGCAAATTGCAGGCTGAGTTTTATTCATCCATGTACGATTCTACAGTATTTTAAATTTACAGTTGTAAATTTTGATATATGCTTCTTTTCTTTATCCACCCAAGTAGCATACAGCGCTTATAAAGCGTTAAATAAGGCGTATACAATCGTTTTTTTAGCGCTTTACAAGCGCTACTGTGCTACTTGGACATTTAGTTTACGAAGTCATTACCTGAAATATGTCTAAATTAATTTTACCGGAATAATTAATAATTGCAACAGGGTAATATCTTATTTTAAAAGAAAAATTTCCCAACTATTTTTCATTCGCTCCAACTAAACTTACATGATCTTATATAATCAGCTTATATCTCCAAATGAATTTCAATCACTTTAATTGTTATTGCAATCCAAATTACAAAATGTGATTTTGCGATAGCGAACTACACGAATGCGCTTTTTTTTGTAGATGTTAGCAGTGACGACAATGGTGACGACGATAACGGTAGCAGGGGGTATGTTACCCTACTACAGGAGTGGCTTCGTCGCAGCATAGCGAGAAAGAGAGAGACAGAGAGAGAGAGAGAGAGAGAGAGAGAGAGAAAGAGAGGCGATGCGCGAAACGTATTCGATCGACCCGTATAAGAGGAACGAGCTTGTACTGCGACAGAGTTCAGTCAGTCGGTCGGTGCCGCTACCAATCGCGCTGCATCGCGTTGAGCCTTTTGGAGGTTTCATTACAAACACACAGTCGGTACGTTCGATTGCATTTCTTTCCTTTTTTCTCTTTTTTCTTACTTTCTCTATCTTGTCATCCTAAACGACCGATTTCTCGCCTTTCGCGGAATAGATTAGAATTTGATACATCAGTTTAATCAAAACATTATTTGTGCAATACACCCTTCTCTCCATTAAAGAAGGGAAGAATACTGCACGTGCATACGAAACAGCAACATCTTACGAGAAGCGAACGATTGGTGGAACAATGTAGTATAAAGGTAATACCCAACCCTTTTTTCTTCTCTCTTTCTGTAGCATGTATCATTATGCGTATTTTACTTCCGACCGGTCTGGATAATTGATAGTCACCCGTTGCATGGTGAACCTGTGAGTTGGTCCCGCTGTGTCAGCTGTAGACTGATTACAAGCGGTTCACCCAGAAGCTTGACGTCATCCCTATGTGCTCTGCTCAACGACGAGCAGAGCACAGTAATTCTATATCGGATATGAGCGGCGTGTCGTTGACATTTTCACGTGATTCCAAGGATTTTATATTCCTTTAGTCTTTATCTTCCTTATCTTTCTTTTCTTATGAATTCAAGAATAGATTTTTTTATTTTCTAAAAAATATTTTTAATAGATACACCTAGTAAATGAATCGCTTATAGTTATAAATATTAACACTTAATGATTTGATGCATTAAAAAGATGAGGAAAAAGAGAATTTGCATGCTTCTATATTATACTGGTATCATTATTCAGTCCTAATTCATAAGTAAATTTTAAACCGAGCATTACGTTACTTAGAATAAATACTAATATTTTATTATTAACGTTAAAATCTTTAACAAACTAATGTTACAGTATATAAATCTGAGATTATCGCATATATGTATATTTACGAGGCAAAATTCCATTTGTGTATACTTTTTAAAGATTTACATTTAGTAACAATCATAAATTTTAATATAACTATAGCTTCGTTGAATAATTTTATTATATTTTATTTTATTTTATTTTATATAACTTTGCAAATTTAATCAATTATCACATCATAATTACATTGTAAGGAAGATGTATAGACAGCTAAATCATTTAATATTTTAGTACTTTTTATGTACTTTTTATTATGCTGAAACTAAACGATGTTGAAACTAGTCACGAATTCTAAAACTTTTTAGAAACATACTTAACAAAATATACATATACAATGCATAATATGACTTCAATTGTTTCAATTTTATGTAGATACAAACTTATATCTTACGATTTGAATTTTGCAAATTTTTCTGTATGATATACATATATTAGAAAACCAGAAAAATTGATTGAAAATTCCTTTATATGATAAAATATTTCTTTATGTAATATTGCTTTATATATAATTCCTTTATATAATATTGTTTTTTCTGTACATATTATATATATACATATATATATATATATATTTTTTTTTTATTGCTTATTACTTGTTTATACATCTGTTATTATTCTAAGGTCAGTGTAAAATAATTTAGCATTATTATTGAATTTCCTGAAATATATCTTTTTAACATTTTCAGAACATGATTAGATTAACAAGATAACAAAATTTTAATTTAAAAATTGTCACAATCTGTAAATATAATCTTTGAATAGTAATTTATATCATGTATATTTATTTATATTTTTGTACTTGCAGTATTTGTAAACAGGAATTTTATTTTAGAAAATAGAAATTAAGCTACGTATATAGATTTTTACATTTCTCTCTCTTTCTCGAATTAAAATAAATCCGATCGCTGCACTTAAAAAAACTATTTAAGGTATACATATTTTCAATGTTTGTGATTTTACTTTAATTTATTTTATTGATTTATATGGCTATAATAGAAAAAAGCATATAAAATAGTATAATTAGAAGACAATTCGAGCGATATTTGTTATCGATTGAAGCTATAATATATACACAATATTTAAGCGCGATAAAGTTTGTCTTTACATATACGGATTCTGCAGATCGCGCGTCAGCTTTGAAAAATTGTTATGTCGACAATCGATTCACAAAGACTTTATACTCATATTTCACGTGTGACCTTACCCAACTATAAAACACACTTGTAATTTCAATAAGTTCTCTATAGATTACGAAAATAGACTTTACACCAATCTATCATATATTTCTATCATTCATAAAAAATGGAAGATTAACTTCCCACATATGTAGGGTATTGAATAGTGTATTTATCAAAGTTTATACTTATCAACTTCAAACTTACTTTACTTTAGCACAACGAACAAGTTCAAGAACGCTACTGATGCATCGCGCCCTTCAAATCTCTTATAATGCATATTTGGCAATTATATAATGTATATTTGGGATTTTCATTGCGTCGAAATCATCGATTACAATTAAATCGCGAATGATTTTCATGTAACTTTCAAGGATGACAAAAAAACTTGCTGATAAAAAGTTGAATATGAAGCTTTTTGGCGAGGAAATCTCGCCAATTTTGGAAATTCTGATTTTAATGAACGTGTCCAGAAAGTTCCAATCGATAAATAGCAAATCTTAAATTTATTCTCGTACATGTATAATCTAAAAAGATAACAACAGTACTCTCTAAATTATAACTTATGCTTCACATAAAAAATTATATACAGTATAATCATAATAAAAATTGCGAATAAAATTATTATAATTTAAAAATTAAAATCATATGTTCTCTATATTGTATAATGTAAATTCACTGCGATTCACGCAGTATGTAATATTCCGCATGCGGTATAATTCCAACGTAGTGATCAAGCTGTTCTGCGTTTCTCGCGAATTTCTGATTTCCGCAATATATATGCGCGCGTCAAGAATTCCGTCGTAATCGGACTTTAAGGCCAAGACGACAATTATTGTGCAGTTATGATTCATTAGATAAGGCCCACGCGAAATTGATCTAATACGATGACAAATGTATCCCCTGATTCTTTCGCGCGTAGGCATCATGTTCCTGTTGCTGTCAGTGCATGGAAGAAGGCAGTAGCCAAAGGCTTTCTCTGACCACTACCGAGAAACTACCTTTCGATATAAGCACATCCCACTTTTTTCCAAGTAAACATACCGTGGATCATGAAGAGGCCTTCCATCAGCAAGACATTTATGTGGACGTTTTGCTTGACCATCCTTTTATTTCTGCCAACGAGAACAAGTAAGCGACAAAAATGCCATAATAATTGATATACAATTGTCATTAAAAGATCTATGCTTAAAGCTTTTTTGTTAGTGACAAATAGCGAACAGTAGCTATACATAGCACGCCAAAGTGTATGATCGGTATAGAGATAATGACTGAATCGAGGAGGTAATCACTCTTGAATCCCGGTGTACAATCTACTGTCAGTCATTGAATTTCTCCAAGTCCAATGAAGTTCAATGAAGTTCGATGAATTCCGCGCGATGAAGTGAAACCCGGCGAAGTCCGATGAAGTCCGGCAAAGTCAAATTCCGGTAAAATCCGTGACAGTTCGGTGAAGCCTTAAAGTCCAAAATCCATGTACACCTGTTTTCTAAATGGTTATCTCCTCGGATTGAATGATTCGAGTGCAGAATAATATACATCTTGAGAGAGAGAGAGAGAGAGAGAGAGAGGAGAGCAGGAAAACAAATATCTCTGGATAAAAATGTCTACAAGATACTGCCCAGTATATTCTTCAATTTTATTATTTTTAGTATTTTGGAGAGAGGAATATATAATATATGAGTAATATCCATAAAACAATAATCATTTAACTTTATTTATAAGAATAATACATGTATGATTCTTTCATTATTAAATTTTACATTATTCAGAGAAATCTGAAATAATTGTGAATTATTTTATTAAAAAGATTATTAAACATTATTATACAGAGTCTTTTTAGTCGAGTGACTTGCCGCTCGGTGCGATTATTCGCGATCTATAGATCCGAATTTAATCCCATCTACGCGATTTAATTTTCGCGTTTAAGGAGTCGAAAATATAACTCTATCTGATGATTAGGAGATCTTTGATCATCAGAGTCGTGATCCGATTCCAATAAAATTATAATTAGATGTTCTATTGATCTTCGAAAGAATTTTATCAATGCAGCACTGACAAAATTTCAATTTTCTCGATGCAGCATTGATAAAATGTCGATCTTCTTCAACGGAAAATGTAATCGATAATCAAATTAAACGATTATCGACAGTTTTATATATATATATATATGTATATATATATATATATATATCAATACTGCATCGGGAAAATCGACGTTTTATCAATGCTGCATCCATAAAATTTTTTTTTAATTAAAAAAATTTTTTTAAAGCGATGTTTTTTTATTTTATATATTTTATTTAATTGTTACTTTAGTTAGATATAATGTGTATATGCTTTTCTATCTTATTGCATTAATTGTTTTCTGTCTATATATTTACATCTCTTTATAGCATTGTATTATTTGACTAAAAACGAATTTTATTTTATGAGTAACTATAATGGCTCCCCGTTTAAAAAAATTTTGACATATTGTATTAATTGTATTGCATTGCATGTACACGAGCCTATTTTTTTTATCTCTTTTGATATTAAACAATCGCATTTAAAGAAAGATTGATATATTATATAAATCAACCCGCGCAATCTAAATATCGATCAAAGTAAGGGACAGGAACCAAGTTGAAAATCGATCGGAATGTGTAAGTAAATCCCAACACTGATTTAAAAGTTGCAAGTTTCGTAAATGGTTAAAAAAATATAATGTCGTTTCTAAACTATATTGTCGATTTACACTCATTTTCAAATAGAATTTCCAAGTTTGTTTGTATATACGTGTCGATGCGTGTGACATATGGTTACGAAAATTGGATTACATAACTGCCAATTTGCGATGTAATGAAATAAATTATTTCAGACGCCCTGGAAGAGAATTGTACGGATTTTCAGGGTGGCACTGTTAGACACGGCCTCCTTTACGTGCCAGGACCTGCGGTTTGCAGTCTCTGCGTCTGCTATCATTCCGAGCCTATGTGGTGTCAAGCCATTTATTGTACGCCACCATACGTGAGTATTTGAGGATATGAAAAATATATGTATATCTACGAGCAATTCGAATCCATATCTTCGGATCGAATTAATTCCTATAAATATTTTTTCACATTATTCGTTTGAATATCTATGTTTTATTTCAGTGGGAAATCGAGGGGTTATTTTATAAATTAAGGCACATTTTAATTTGTAGTTGCGTATAATCACTTACTGTTTAATTTTTTGATCAATAGCTTCTTGTAGATAGATTCTTGTAACTTTCTTTTTTAATTATCGGAAGACAATAATGCATTAAAAATTTTTCATCTAAAAGGTAATTTTTTATTACTAGCGTATAAGAGAGAATTTCGAAACGACGCCTCAGACATGAGGCAACACGACGAGGAAAAAGAATAAAAAAGAAAAAAAAATAACTGATGTTATAGTTTCGCGAATGAATTGCATTTCGCGAGTCGCGGCGACCTTGCGATTTACGCGCATGTACAGCATTCGTTGCACTTTTTAAATTATACTCTTTATATACCCATATCGCTGATTAAAATCAATGTCATACATGCGCTGCTATTTAAATTAACACGCAGTTCCATGTCGTATACATGCGTAAAAATTGCTATGCCATTAATAAGTGCAATAGGCTATATTATAGTTTTCAAGTGAAGACTTTGAACAACTGCCACAACAAAATAAGTATATTTATCTTAACTTAATAATATTGAATAATTTAATTCTCTATTAGTTTATTAATTAATTCTACAATGACATACTTATTTTCAGCACTTTATAGAACTGCACATATATGAATCATTTGTGTTCAACCTGATTTTGAGGCTGTTAAAATGCTCGAAAAATTCTTTAAAAATTCACACATGTTCTTTAAGGTCTCTACTAAATTATTTGCCTAGTAGACATTGAAAAAAAAGGTTGGATAAATTATAAAAATTACGCAGGTAATGGCATGGACTGCATCGAATGGTCCATGTGTGCCGTTAAAGAATTAATAATAAACACAATGAAAAGAAAATAAGGTGACATATTTTGAGTTCATAATGTTATAATTTTTCTCATCAAATTTGATTTTTATAAAATAATAATTTTCTAAAGTGAAAATTCTTTTAATTGTTTCTTATACTAAAAATAGAATAAAAATTAGTGTGGGAGAAATTTTTACTACAACAATATTATTATTAACGTACCTTAAAATTATATGATCTAAATTATATGTATTGATAGAAAATTTTTTTGAAAATAAGAGAGGATATAATAACGTAGTAGAACAAAAAAAGCAATCTTTATAATAAATCTTTTAGTAATCTTTATATAAACGCTATTTTCTGTGACAGAAGAATTATAGCATATTTTTAGATCTAGTTGTTTTTAACGATATCTTAAATTATTATAAAAACTCGTTCTCAAGTACTGATCTGATTGTTTCGCAGAAATGCAAAAAATTCCGCGTGGGTGAACGCTGCTGTGAATTTGAGTGTCTCGACGATAGTGACGATTGGAGTGGCCCGGATGTGTATGACGCTGCTGGATCGTCCAAGATCCAAGAGCAGAGTTCTATCCTGTACCTATTGAGCATAATACTGATCGCGTTATCGATAGTGCCTTAATTACGATCAAACGAGATCCGCATTGCAATTATCATCGCCATAAATCATCGCCCCTTATCGGATATAATTCGCGAAGAATTCGTCCGTTAGTGATATTGGTAAAGATGATTTATGATGATGACGAACAGCATGTTCTTTACTCAATGTAGCAATTAAGATGTCCATGTAGCGCGAGCTTAATTAACGGCGAAGAGAGAGAGAGAGAGAGAGAGAGAGAGAGAGAGAGAGAGAACTGGAATTTCTTCCAGTAAATCGATTTAGTTAAATTGAAGATTGATCAAGTCACTGTTTAAATAATTATAACAAACTGAGAAAACAGAATATTTATTTTATAAATAATAAATAACAAAATTTGATATAATCGTTTCGATCGATAGTTTCAATATAATAATTATTGTTATTGCATCATATATGCCAAATTTAAAAAAGTGTTTTTTCATTTCTTTCATAATTTTGATAAGAGCAATTTATAAACACTTTATAAGAACTTGAATATAAGTTGGGCTTCGAGCATATATACGCAAACGTGTGAACAAGTCGTTTTCATTTTCTCGATTTTTTGTTTTCTTTTAAAACCCATTTCCTCATATTTTTCCACTTTGTCAAATTCGACATGATAACACTTATCAGACGCCATGCGAACTAGATATCGAAATTCTACACGTATTCAAACATCAAGGAATGACGTGGGTAGCTCTTGGAATAATCCGAACACTCACAATCGGATGTCAGCCACTGTCATATAAGAGACGTACTTGATCTCATTTCGAAGTAAAATTCAGCATTTTGTTTTGTTTATAGAACATGTGAAATATAATGCACACAAAATTATCGTCAGAAAATTAATTCATTATTCAATTCTCAATCAGCTGTCTCGGCTTACCAATTCTCGAGAATGCGATCATATAAGCGATATCGTAATCGTAATAATGAATGATATAAAAATTGGCGAGACATCTGATTCTGATCGCCTTTGATAATATTCGCGCACGATGGACGACCAAAGGAAACTGAAAACGAAGAATTAAAAATTGAAACATCGTGTACGCGTGTGCACGTGTAACAAATCAAAATTTTTATTTTTCCAATATCGCGAAACAATATGTGATAACGAACGTGTTAGATTGAGAGATTAGTGCGCGAAAACGAATACTGGAAAATTGGAGTACGTAATATTCTAATTCTTTGCATAAAAGAGAGACTCGTTTCAATTCAATCATTTTTATCGATCGTTCGCTTTGCTTATTTACGCCGGTAAACAACCATTTCTTTTGACACTTCCTTATGAATAAAATGCATCATATTAAAATGCATTTTTGCTATTTCGATATCCCGACAATATATAACTCTTTCACTCGCTTCCATATAAGTATTACAAAACATTTCGATTATTCTTATTCCAACTAACATTCGATTACCAATTAACTATTATTCGCACGATATTTCAAAGCGACGATAATTATAATAAGCGTCTGAATTTTCATGCTATATAATATAAGCTTTAATTATAATTACTGTCGATTTGCAATACCGCGCCATTAATTGTTGGCCGATAAATTAACTGAAGCATAAATTGTAATATACGAACAGTTTAACATCTCGAAATTTGACAATTAGTAATTGAAATTAGTAAATGATGTGCGAATACGACTTTGGAATCTTTCCATAGAGTGACAGAATTACTTTATAACGCTTGTTGGGAACTATCTAAAAAAAATTGACTGCTTTTAACAAAATGTGACACAGTATTCTAATGCCACAATACCAGTCATAAAACAGAGCAACATGGGGCCATATAAATTATGTAATATAATATAACATACACACACGAATGTGCTTTCTTGGTCTTTTCACGACAAAAGAAAATATGTGCAAATGAAAATATGGTGCTATTATAAGTAATTTCTCGCTATAAGGAACGCTATATATTATAAATATTATAATATTTGTGAATCTGCAGTATTGCGATACCACTATTCCAGTAATTGCGCACGTATGCTTACCTGTGATATACTTTTACGGCGTTTGATTATTGCTCTTGTCCTTGGATTACAATAACTTTGCGAATCTCAGAGGTTTAGTGAATGTCTCTGACGAAAGCAACCCCTTCAAAAATTGGAGACAAAGAAAGGAGGAGACGAAACAACCGTAATTATGTTAAGGATGGATAGTAATAATTACCTAATAATAATATATTGATTAATGTTATATTTATAATCGATTAATTATGTGGAAATTCTATTTACTATGTGAAAAAAGAATTGTTATATAGAAGAATTATTATTCTTTTAAATGATATTTATCCTTAAGATTCTACAAACATATGTTATATTTAATTATTGTTAATGCTAATAAAAATGTTCTATAATCTTGGACTGCGCGAGAAGTCATAAGAGAAAATCATGAGATTGTAGGTAACACGAATAATAATATTATGTGTGAATTAAGATCTACTCTGTCACAGAAAGTATTTGAGAATAATCATCTTCACTCAAAGGCGCATTCAAATAATCCGGCGCGAACTTAATTCTGGCCCGGATCGCATATGATATAATAATTTATATATTTCTTATTTCGCAAATACCTTTCGATCCATTACATAGACCTTTCGATCCATTACATGGAAATTCACATTTTCGCACGACTACTTTAATCATTTGTAATATGTCTCCGTTGTTAACAGCTGCTCACTTATTACCTAATATTTATGTCACATTCAAGCATTGAAGGCAATCTTTCAATCATGTCAATTTGAAGTATTAAACATTTCAATTGAGCCGCTCTCAATACTAAAATCGGACTAATCCCGAATTGCATTTGAATTTTATATGAGCGCATTGTCTAAGTTTTGCGCAAAAATCAAGGCCAAGTTTGACAAATGGTGCTATTGAAGCCATTTAAGTGAGTGCAAAAGAATGTTTAAGATTAAATTATTATAGCTTATATACAATGAATTAGAGATGTGCGATACGTGTACTTTTATCATCGATACGCGTATTACACATCCCTACAATAGATATGTTTATAGTATGCGCGATACTTGGCTCGGATGTGATCTAGTTTTTAATATAATCTTGATTTGTTTTAAAAAAGTTTTAAAAAAAGTTTTGCCAAATTTTTCGATGCTTCGCGGATATGCTCAAGTATTTAAATTAAAATATACTTCTATCATTTTCTAAATATTTTAAAAAGAAAGTATAAAGGATTTCATGTTTAGATAATGTATATTATGTATCTCCGAGCCATGTATGATAATAAATTTTGAATCGAATTTATTTAACGTTTATCGTCTCATCTTGACGGGACGATAATGATATCCTTGGCTGGTGGGAAATATAAAATGACACTTTTCCTAAAAGCGCGCCTCACCAATACTTTTACTCTCTCTTCTCTATTATAACCTGTTCCAATTTAGTAAAAAGAATTATTAATCGACCAATTCTTTTAAATTTATAAAAAATCGGTATAACTCTTGCAAGAAAAATGACACATACACACATGCACGCGCGCGCGCGCGCGCGCGCGTGTGTGTGTATGTGTATAAATAAGCTAGAGGACAACTTTAATATTACAATATATACTTTTCACATAGTTATATCATGTAATAATCAGAGGCCTTTTATGTATGAGTGATCATTTAGAATCCATATTAAAAATTAATTGAACTTACAATAAAATTTAATCCAAAATACTAAACAAACTTGAATATGGTTTTGGATTGAACGAATCTTTCTTTAATTCCCTCAAGTAACAAAAAAAGTATGTAATAGATTTAATAATAAGATAAAAGTAAAAATTTGTACATCAAATAATATAAAGTTTATTCATAAGATTTTTGCCGGCAATTATATTTACAATATCGTATCGCATGTGCTTTAAAACACATACAGATACAAAATATTTATCTATATATAAAATATTCGAGAATGTAAAATTAAAAGCCCTTACCCATAAATAGTTAATCATTATATAGGATTGCCTATAATAATACATGCGAGCAATTACTTAATGACGTATGAGTATTATCATCGTCATATCTTCCTAATTTTCTTTCTTCCAAATAGTGTCATATAGGTCTGTACGACGTTGATTAAAGATCGGGATTTGCTCTCTGACTTCATCCACAATTTTTAAATCTGTAATAATGTATTATTTTGATATAATACAATTATATGTTATTAAAATGCCAATGTTACAAATATATAGATTTATATATAAATTTGTTATGTTGCTTAATTTATACGTATATTTATATTTTATATACAGTTGTATACTTTATTTGACGTTTTTCGTATTAATTGTAAGTATATAATAAATTATAATATTTTTATTAATTGCACGTATTGAAGAAGTAAAAGAATTATATGCAACTGTTCAAACACAATAATTAATGATTGCAATTTAAAAAATATTTCTTTTTACCACATAGAAAATATTTAATTTTTATTAAATATTCTGATTTATAACTTGCAAATTGTACCGTTTAATCGTTATTCTATTGCAGAATAAATTTACCTATATCAGAGACTATCATATCCTCGACGGCATCCAGCTCGCCAAGTATTTCTCCCCAAGGATTGGTTAACTGAGTATGCCCCCAAGCAACGTATTCAGGCGGCGAGCCACGTGCCGGCGACACACAGGCTACATATAATTGATTGTCGTTTGCTCTGGCACGCTGTAGCAGTGACCAATGGAGCGGGCCAGTGGTCATGTTGAATGCCGCCGGATACACCAGCATCTGACAACCTGATATTGTAGAATCAAAGAATTTAGAGGCATAGTTTGAGGAGTGTAGTAAAATCATCTTAATTAAATATTCTGCCACATACTTGTAATATATGTGTAAATGATCATTTACATACAGATAAATTGTTTAAGAAATTTGGATGCAAATGCAATTACATTCAAGATACATTTATATACATAAGGGTATAAATTCGTATGCAAATTTAATATTTTTTAATTACTGAATGAGATTAAAAAAGAAAATTATAAAAACTGTTATAATTGTATTAACTTTGCTAATAGAACTAAATTTAAATCGATCTATTTTCTTGTAAAAAAAAATAGCAATTTATAAATCAGAAAATTCATAAATGAGAAAAATAAAAGATATAACCATTACTTTTTTTAATGATGTTGCATGATGATTATTATAGCAATTGTGCATTATTATAGCAACAAATTTGAACATAACAAAAAAGGAATAAGTATTCCTGCTATATATATATATATACATATACATATATGTATATATATATATTTATTTATATATTTATATATATATATATATATCTCAATTTGTCGTATTATATATTAAAATACAACGTTCACCTTTGTTTCTATATAATCGCGCCATTTCTTCAAATCTAATATCGTAGCAAATGCCAATACCGATTTTACAACCTTTCGCTTCAAAAATAGTAAGGGAATTGCCGGCGGATAGGGAGTCACTCTCGCGAAAAGTAATTTTTCCTTTAATGTCAATGTTGAATAAATGCATCTGTGAAGAAGAAATTAAATGCTTAAAGTGCACCCTGTTTCATATAGCACATGTTTCGTGTAGAAAAAAATTTATTTATATACTGTACACATTTCTATCTTTCTCAACTTTTATTTTAAGTAAATTCTTTACTTTAAATTAATAGCTGAAAATATATTTAAATATTTAGAATATATAGAATATATGTGTACTTTTGAAAAACAAGAAATATATCTTTGTAAAAAAATATATATGTATATGCACACATACGCACGCATGCACATATGTATATTAAAATATTTTAAAGAAAACCACTTCTCGCATTCACACGTACGTGCATGAACCTTTACAGAAAACATTTTTACAACGTTGTATATGTACTAATAGTATAATGCACAACATCGATTTCAATAACCTTCCTATGCATAGCTATGAGTTTCCCATCTGGTCCCCATACGGTGCAAGTGTTATATAACTTGTCGTTGTTTCTCTCCGGTATTGTACCACCAATCACATAGACATTGTTCTTTCTTGCCGCCTCGGACAACGCCGCGCTCGTCTCACCGTCTGGAATGCTCTCGGCATATCGAGCAAAATGAGCTATTTGTGTTATGGGAAACATTAATAAAACATGATAAGCCAGTAAATAAATACATATATAAAATTATACATATATTTGGCACAAAAATATCGATCTTTATTGAAAATATAAACGAAATACTATAATTATTTTTAGTTTCTGAGATTTTATTTATTATAGATCGATTTTATTTTCATGCTTTTCTTTTGTATTTTTCTACTTTTGACACAGAAAATTTTGTAAGTAGAAGTGTAAAAAATATCTCGCACGTCATATGTATAAAAATATTGTGTGTGTGTGTGTGTGTGTGTGTATCCAGCAAATGAAAATAGATTGAAATGAATTGAAATGGATTCAGATTTTCAGAAATATTGATTCACGAATGTTAAAATGAATACTGTTCAATTCAAAACTTTGAATAGGAAATGCAGTTTTTCAATCCAATTGCATCTAATTGAATCCAATTGAATCCAATTAAATAAAAAAAAAAGTATTCACTATTTAAAATATGCATTCGAATAGAAAAAAATTTCAATCCGTTTTAATCCATTCTTGTTTGCTGGACATTTTATTAATTTAAGATGTATATTAAATAATAAACTTGATAATTTGCAGACATTTGCAAGATATGCATCAAATACTTATTATTATATATACATATATAAAAACATCTATGTTAAAAGTAACACGATCTTTTCCTCTTATTATATTTTTTTATTTTTTTGTCGCATACAGATGTATGCAGATGCATACTTGTGTAGCAGCAGTGGCCAATCAGAGTTTTGTTCTAAATTTTAATTTTAAAAAACTAGCTTTTTTTCGTGAACCTATAAACAAAGTAAAACGTTTGCTCGAGATATTCATTATTTATGATAACACCGTAATTAAAAAAGAAAATTTAAAAAAGGTGTCGTGCTCCTTTCATTTACATGTTCCATATGGCGAATTGAAACACTCGGGCAGTGTCACGATGTCGGCTCGCTCCTGTTTCGCGCGTTCGATGAAAGAAACGGCTCGCGAGACGTTTGTTGCCTTATCATCACCAACGGACAGCTGCACCAATGCCAGACGCAAGGCTGAAAGTTTAATAAACAAGGCTAGATCGAGTTAAACGAGACATTGTTACACATCGTCAACATTTTTCGAGCCTGTCATAAGATATATAATTGCAGTGTCATTTGATTTAAAATGTCAATCGGAGCTCGAATCAGTATTATACGTATTGATATGTACATATAGGCTACGTTCCGTAAAACGCATGATGTGCATCATTCTTCGCATGATTTTAGCCTAATTCTTATTCATCGATTGTTAAACAAGGATAATATCCTGCGTAATATGCACTTTACAGAATTATACATATATCAGGGACAGTGGATAAAGTGAACGCGACCGCGCTGAGATGCTCACTTGCTCAGAAGACTATTTGGTCAACAATATATAGCAAAAGAATTTTCTGATTTCTTTTATTTTTTTATATTAAATGCACAATTTCAAATTTCGCATGCTGTAAAGAGAGAATAATTACACACTACGTACTAGTCATTGTTCTTATTCTTATTCGGCACTGTGCGACACTCGCCCGCAACATAATAGGTTAAGTTTCCTTCTGTTTATTTCGATGACGTAAGGAAAAAAAATCGCAAGTATTTTATCTACGTAGATATAATAAAAAAAAACAAGATTTTTCCTTATATACATTTAATCAAATTTATTTTTATATGTATGTGGCACAGTAAAGAAAGGAGGGAGAGGGAAAAAAACGGATTTAATGTAATTTCACAGTAATTGAAAATTATATTGTGATAAGTAATTGATCCCTTTTACACCGAGCGTTTAATGTACGCCTAGTAACTTTCTACTAAATTATCTTAATTTCGGCAATACATTTAAAGAATGGTGTACTAAGCTGGTACACAATATGCATCTAGAATTTAAATGGTTAGTGAAATAGCAAACTATCGTGTATGTTTACGCGCATCGTCGAAATTAAAATAATTTAATAGAAAGTTATTAGTTATTACGCATATTAAAAGTGCACGATGTAAACTTATAGGCCATATTATTATTATTAATGTAATGAGGATTTAAATTTGAATTGTCAAAATTAAATTTAAATTTTAAATTTGAATTGTCAATACCCATTAAATTATACAAATCGCCTCAATTTATACTTCGCATGTAAATTTTTTTATTAATCTTTAACTACGTTTACACGGACACTCTTAATTGAGTTTAATAATAATTCGTAGTTAGAGAAACTGGCCAATTACAGTCATTCCATTTTTCAGAGGAATAGTTATGACTGGTCAGTTTCATAATTATGGATGTTATTAAACATCCTGATTAAGAGTATTCGTGTAAACGTAGTCTTTATTTTTTTCCATTAAATATAAATCCTTTAAATTTAAAATCAATTTTTCTTTTCTTGTATTCTATCTAATTTATTCTTTATGTTTACAAAGTTGACGTAGAATTTTATTATTAAATGATTTAAATGTGATTTTTATTAACTGTTTTAATGTTACGTAAGCCTAACTTTTTTGCTAATAAATATTTACTCGAGCCTCTCACTCTCTACGAACGTAACATTAAATTACATTAAAGAATGTGTAAAAAAAGTACAATTATAGAAATTTGTATATCTGAATAAGATTAAATCACATAAAAAAATAAGTTTTATTTAAAAAAAGATACAAACAAAATTGTACACGTCAGTAGAGAACTTAAAATATTTATACGCTATACGTTGCGATTTTTATACAATATTATGTACACATGTTATCGTCTACTAGATGATCGAGACCTCCTATGTTTTTTGGATTTTTTTTTATCGATAGATTCAAAAGATCCCGATATTTTATCCTTTAGTTGTTCCTTATCTCTTCCTTTGTGTTTCTTGGATTTCTTTGCCCTTTTAGTCCTATCACTACTACTGGAGCGTTTTCGAGTTTTTTTATTTTTTTTCTTATTATTGCTATGTGTATCACTACTATTCTCACTATCGGATAAATTTCTTCGATGGATTTCTGATTTTCTACTTGATTTCTTCGATTTGTATTCACGTTCGTTTTTTCTGTGCTTTCTTTTCTTATCAGGTATATCTGAATCGCTGTTATCGTTATTGCTTAAATTTTCCAATGATACAGATTTTCGTTTATTTACACCTTCCTTTTTCTTATGTTCTTCATACTTAGCAGCATCTGAAATTAATTTTATCGAATACTAAAGACTAAAACTGCAATAATTTCATATAAATGAGTGAATTATGAATAGCAGGAACTTTTAAAAAGTGTCAAGTATATAATTACATATTGATTAAGTATTGATATCTACTTATAAGTATAACAGGTTTCAGCTATACAGAGAGAAATTAAAATCCTTAAAATTTTACAAATCCAAATTATAATCAATCATTAATTTAAACTTTAGTAACCTGTTTACAAATACAAACATAAAATTTCATGATTACAAAAATTTATACTTTTACAAATATTTTAAAAGTTCCTCAAGAAATAAATTGCTTTATTTACTAACTTAGAACTTTAGAATTTTTCGAGTATTCCAGCTTTGTTACTACTTGAACTATGCATTCATTCACAGAGATGGTATTTCCATTCAGTGCCATCTTAACGATTAATCTTCCTCCATCATCAAAGCCTTCTATTTGGCCATATGCATTGGACCGCTTGCCAGCAACAATTTTTATAAAACTTCCTTTTTGTATCCGTAACTCTTCCTCCTCTTTTTGAATCTTTCCATCCTGTTTTTGCAATGCTGTTTTGTCTGCACCAAGTCCCATCCCTATGGGCCTTAATTCAGGCACAATGGGTGTTACAAGCCTGTCAAGTACATAACATATAAAATGTAAAAGTAAAAACTATGTAAAAATATGAAAAAAATGAGTACTCTATCTGAAAATATATACTGAAATAAAGAAACGCAACATTCACTCATGCTCAATCTAAAAAAAAGGGTCTTACTTTGGATTTTTACCAATTCCTTCGCCAGGTTTCCATCCCATACCTCGTAACATAGCTGAACCAAAGACATTTAGCGGAATCTTTTCGTAATCTTCTAATGTACTCTATATAAAAAAGAAAATATATAAAATATTTTTGTATGTTACATGAAAATTGATCGATGAATTGAATTGATGATTAAACACATGAGTGAGAAATGACGTATTTATATAAGACGATTCTTCGTACATATTTTTTGTGAATTTATATAATTTCTAGTTTATTTTATGTTTAGCTTATTTTGTTTATTTTTATTCCAATTTTATATAATTAAAAATATGTGTATTTATATAATCTCATATTTTTATATTAGTTTATTTTTATATATCAACTTAAAATATGAATATATGATATTAATAATCATAAAGAAGTACTCACTTCTTCTGCACCCTCTAAATTCTGTCTCTTAACTAAAGATAATGTTATATCACGCAAATCATCGTTATTTTTTTCTGTCGCATTGAGATCTTCTATAATTTCTTTAACTGCCTGTTCATCCAAAGTAAGAATTTTACTTTCAATAGATGAATCTGTTTTTATCTGTATATTAGAAGGAGAAACACTCCTATCAATTGATGTTAAATCACCGTTAGATATTTGTAACTCTTCCTTGATCTTGACTTTTTGCATATCATCATTACTTGTTTTGATTTTGTTAATGATTCTGTCATGCCAGGAATTAGATTCCAATAGTGGAATAATGACAAGTTCTTCTTTTTTCTCTTCCTTCCTAAACAAACATATTTGTTATATAATAACTGTTTAATCTAATAATGAAAATAAACGTTACAACATAAAAAATTAGAATAAATAAAAGCAAACATTACAGTTGCCATTTCAAGTATTAAAAACTAATAATTAAGGTTAGATAAAAATCGAAGTTACAGATGCCTACTGTTTTGTTGCAACGAACAAATTTTTTCTCAATTTACCCGATCACTTTAATTGCCTTATCGTCTAAACATTCGATATAATCCACTTTTTTCTCCTGGTGTAGTTTTTGTTTGCTCAAAATTGGCTTTTTTACAGACTTTGCAAAACCAAAAGAAATTTTTTTACTTTCTTCAGCCATTTTCTTATAATTTATATAATCTCATAAGTTCTTTTTTCATTTCATCAGGTATATCTTCTATCAACGCACACAATAGGTTATTTTCACTTGCAATAACAAAATACAGAAAAATACACTTTTTTTTTATGGCTCCCACACACATAACCGCCTTGCGATGCGATGCGATACAAGAAGTATGCCAGTATCTAATGTGCTCTGCACACACCTTCTCAAGAAGAGCGCGGGTAGGAGAGTAAAGGCTTAAACACAATAAGCAATAGGAACAGGGAATAACAAACTGTCCAATCAGAGCTCTGATATGTAAGTTCGATAATACATCCCAGAGTTCTGATTGGACAGCTCGTTATTCTCTGTTCACTGTGTCTATTACCTATGCCTATTGTGTTTAAGCCTTAAGGGTGAAATCACACGGTGTGGAAAACGACTGCGATATAGAAATTTCCACCAACGTAAATTAACTTTAATCTTTGTTCAGCTTACTCTTCGTTTTTTTCTAGTTCTAAAGTTAGAAAAAGACGAAGAGTAAATTGAACCGAGATTAAAGTTAATCTACGTTGGTGGAAATTTCTAAAAGAATACACCAATAACAGCGAGTGCTCACTCAATTGTTGAGTTCGTTGAACGCAGCCATTGAGTACGCTAAATGCGTCCAATGGTAATCAAGATCTGTGTTCCGGTTTTAAACCGGAAGTGAAAGACATTAATGATGCCGATTATAGATAGAAGTAGATAGACTGTGAATTTTTTGGAGTCATGCGAATGTGATTTTTCGTAATTGTTATTATTTACATACAAATTTGAGTGCTTTGTGTGATATTCTCCATGATATTTTGTACATTTAATATTAGTACATTTTATAATGTTTGCGTTAACGGGAGAAGTAAACTTTTGGACTTTTGATGACAATGTAAACATAGAGGTCACCGATTTTGGTGCATTTAAGTAAAAACATCATTTGATTCATTTTTAGATTCCACTATTACTATTACAACAATTTATTTGCTCTTGATTTTTTTTTTTTTAGATATCACGATAAACGTATTGATGGCACGTATGAAGAAGGCAAAAGATCATATTGTCAAGAGCGTGGAATGACTTACGTCCCAGAAAACAAAAAGGGAAATAAATTAAAACATTCTATAAAATATTTAGAGGTATAATAAATCATTATTTTATCTTTCCTGGTGGAATTTTGTAAAGAGCATATATTATATAGAATTGTTATTATCATACCTAGGGTCAGCTCAAAGATAATTCTGTAATTTATTCTCAATGGTATGATGATTCTGTTGCACAATTAATGCTTAGCAATGGCTTATTGGTACAAATACAAGTTTGTCTCTTCAGTGGTGATGTATTAGAAATCAATTTCGACAAATATCTTGTAGGAAAGTTATCTGAACATATATCTGATGGTAATTGCCTATTATTTTTGTTACCAGAAACTATTTATATTATGCACAAAGGATAATATTTTGCTTTATTTACAGTAATTATTACCAAAAGTCATTTGGTTTGTACATACAATGATAATCTAGTGACTTTGGTATATTTTACAAAATCTAAGGCGCACATTTTTGATAAGATAAGTAAGTTAGAACCTAAATTAGTCACAACAGACTTATTTAAACCTAATGGACGCAGATTGGATAAAAAGATTGAAGTAAACAAGTCTGCTAATTTGGTAAATTGCTTCTAGACAGTTTTTTTTTAACTAAGAAAATATTACAGTTAATTTATAAGAAATAATGTGTCTTTACAGATATTAATTTGGCGAAAATCTACAATGAACGAAGTTTATCCTTGGAGTCCTGCTATGAAACAATATCATCGAGCAAACATGCATCTCTTTCAGCTCACAGGGTATGAGATCAACATAGCTATGCGACTTCTTTTATCGTTCTCATTGTTTTATGTGACATTCTTTGCGTGTATATATGTATTTTCGTTTTAACTTATCTTTTTATAGTTTGTTGATTTCCTTATTCCTGTTCTTGTTTGCGTATTTTACCCTTTTACATAAATTCTCATGTTTCTTTTTGTGCTGTTCCCATAAATCTTTTTTATATTGAGGCGTTATTGATAATTCTTTAGCAATACTTGCAGTAATTTTCTTTGGCAAATCCCATGTACCCTTTTTTTACAATATAATATTTTTGTATTATATTTTGTATTATATTTTTGTATTATCTTTGAATATTGCATATATAAATTTTAAGAGAAGAGAGAACTTGTGATAATATTGATTTAATTTAAAATAATTTAGATCCTTAAACTTTTATACTACGTACAGGTTGTCTAAAAAGAAACTAAGAAATCAAATTTTTATTCTAGAAATGGTACTAGTCACGCTATTAAGTTATAATGAACAAAATTCAATATTTTGAACATTATATTATCGATCGTGCACAGTAGCATTTGAAACGGTTCATAATGATCCTTTGCGTGGCGTGAAATGCAACAGTTGTTTCATGACCCTCATCGAAAAAAGAGCAATACGCCAGCATTAAGTTCTGCTTGAAACTAAAGAAAACTTTTACAGAGATATTTGAGTTTTTTGTTTTAGCAACTTAAATGTTTCGGTAAAAGTTTCCTTTAGGTTTCATGCAGAACTTACATAAGACTTAAGAGAACAAATGCTATTGTATATGATCGATAATATAATGTTCAAAATATTAAATTCTGCTTGTTATAACTTAATGGCACGACTAGTACTATTTCTAGAACAAAAGTTTGGTTTCTTTTTAGACAACCTGTGTTAACATAACATTAGTTTATACAAACTTTAAATGTTCCCCATGGCGATTGTCCAACTCTTTTGACATTGTCTAACATACGTCCATTATTATCCACAATAAATTTCGTAGTGACACAATGTCTGTCTGGCCAACTAGGATACCACTTAGGAACTTCCCAATTTCGCAATCTTTTTGGAGCAAATGTATCTTCCGTCCAATGGCCATGCCAGTGCTGAGACATTTTCATATAATTCTCGTGATTTTATAATTTTGATACGTATGAATTTTAATTGTACTTGTGTTTGCTATTACAATTCTTTCTATCAAGCATGGTTAGTTACGTGTCACTATGCTCGTTGCTATGTAAATCGATTACAAACACTTGTACAGTCCTTGATGTCCCTGTATGAATGTATGTACATAAACAATGAAAGGATTTGATCATTAATATTTTCAGAACAAAATTAGAATTGTTATGTTACATACGTACTGAATTTGATCCCTTGTGTATTACATTTGATGCATGCGATGACAATATTATTCATTCTGTAGAACAAAAAGTTTCACGAAAGGTAATTACATCTCATACTTCTGTATTTAATACAAATTTATTTAATATATTAAATATGCTTTCATATATTAATTAAATTTTGTATTAAAAAGAAGAAATAAGTTATGTTTGTAAATTTGGATATTGTAATATACAGGGAGAAGTTACTGTAGAATGGCGTACATATGAAGTCTCTCGGCAAAATAAATTAAAAAGGATCGCTGTGATTTCTGTACCATTGCCAACGCATACAAGTTGTGTGAGATTTTCACCTAATCAGGAACTATTACTTTTATGTTGCATTGATGGTACTATTATGATGTATGATCAGATCAAATCGACAAGCATCAGTGTAAAAGCAGCTTTTGTAAGTTTTATTAATATATAAACATACAATAACTTTTTATATATATATAAAGATATACAATATAAGTATTATGGAAAGATGCATTTTGAAAGGATTTATATGTGATTTTCTTTATTTCTTTTTCTTAAGATACCTACTTTAGCCGCTTGGCACAGCGATGGTATAATATTTGTGGTAGGTAATGATAGAGGCCAGTTTCAATATTTTGATATTACTTTAATGTGTATCAAAAGCCAGACATTAAGTGACGAGTCAATGCCAGCGAATATTCTCGACTTATCATCATATTTTAAGTACGAACAATGAAATAATTAGTCGGTAAGACATGGCCATAAAATTGGATTAATAAAATAATAATACACAACACAGGAATCAGCATGCTTTGCTGCATATGGAATGGAATAGGAAAAGTGATTCAAATCAGATACGTTATTACAACAATGGCAATTCTTTATTTTTATTACTTTTCGAACGGTAAGGACCACCATTTCTTTTATCATGCAACATGTTCGATATTGATTGGTACGTGACAATTTATTCTGTATTCTCAGAGGACCGATTGGAGTTATTAAAGTGATTGAAGGCGATACTCTCTCTGGGGATGAATTAGTCAGAAGGTATTTGTCAGAGTCTCGAGCAGAACAAGCGACTTCCTTGCTGTTGTCGATGAATTGGGATACGTATCCACGTATTTGCATGCATTCGCTTAATCAAATCTTAAACTATTTATTTAAGTTACCGTTAACAACGGAACGCGAAGGTAAAATAACATTTTGTTTTAATAATCTGATATTTAATTAAGAGATTACTTACTAATGATTTAAAAAAATAATCTTATTCTAAAATTTATTAATCTGATCCAATAGGTCTGATACAGAATGCGTTAGGCAGTTTTCACATACCTATTAAACCAATAAGTCAAACTGTCGAAGAAGAATATGGGGATGAAGTAAGAGATTTGACAAGGAGATTTTTCCATCATTTATTAAGGTAGTGCATTATCTGATGTGAATTTAAAATTTAATTTACTCTAATCATTTTTTGTGATCTTTGTAGGTATAAGATGTTTGAAAAGGCTTTTCGTCTAGCTATTGATCTAAATGATCACGATCTTTTTATGGACATACATTTCTATGCTACGGTTTTGAATGACATGGAACTGGCAACTGCAGCCAAAGAAAAAGCTGAGAGTATTCTAAGCAGATCGAACAGTTGCAGTGGTTCACGTAAGAATTGACAATCTTTGGAAAAGGACTTTTAAAGACTTTAATATACCTTGTATCTATTTAAATAAATAAATTTTTATAGATTCCACATGTTCGAGAACATCATGTTCTATATGTTCCGATTCAAGTAATGAGAAGGAAGAGGAGGAAGAGGAGGAGAAGAATGTGGAAGTAGAGGAGGAAGAAGAGGAGGAGGAAGAGGAGGACGAGAAGGAAGAAGAGGATGAGGAACAGGAGGAGGAGGAGGAAGATGAAGAAGAAGAGGAAGAGGAAGAAGAGGAGAAGGAGGAAGAGGAGGAGCAAGAAGAGGAGAAAGAGCAGATAGAAGCAACATATAGTGAAGAGAGCGAAGATTCTCAAAAAGAAAAACGACTTCATCTGAAACGATCGCGAAAGTATCGTTACAGAAAAGCTTCCAGTTCAAATCAAATCCCACCCTTACCAGTTATCCATCCTCATCATACCGCAAAGAACTCACTTTGTGCCTCATATAATAATATTCCGTCCACTATTAAGACTGACTACATCTTAATACCTTCGTCCTTTGACACTTCTAATAACATTTTAACAACTTCGTTTAATCATTCTTCGCACATTTCAAGTCCATTTTTATCATCAACTTCTTTTAATAAATCATTATACAGTACACACTCAAATTTTACACCGATTAGCGCGGCGAATGTCATTAATAGTTCTCAAGTATTTAATAATGCATCAGACGACTTGATGACTACGTCATTCGGCAGTATTTCTTTCAATGAATCAGACGTAATAGTGAATGATCAGTCTAGCAATAATTTTGACGAGAGATCGTACGAACAATCATTACTTAATGAGATATCATATTCTTTTAGTAGTTCCACTACTAACGTAATAACGACTTGCGCGCAAGACGATAGCTTTATCTCTACTCCTTTCAATAAGCCAATATATGAATCGGAAGACATTCATTCTAATAATTATTTGACGAGTTGTTTAAACGTCATTGATAATAATGTTATGTCAACGTCATTCGGTACTCGAATTGCTAACACTCCTATCTCGCATAGTAACTCTGTCAATGCACTAATAGCGAACAATAACTCTGAAACAACTTTTATGTTACGAGGTATGAAATCTTCAAAGATATCTGATAAATCATTAACTAAAACTCTTATCGATAATACTCATACAACGGATCAATTGCCTCTTTCGAATAATACTTGTAACAATCTGATGTCTACTTCGTTTAATAATCTTGAAGGATATACAACTCTTGAAAGTAACGACATTACATTTCCTAACACGTTTAATAATGTCAATGATCAAGCCGTTAAATTACAACATCCTATAATGGAAGAAAAAGAAACAAACATCACTGTTCCATCACCACCTTCTCTGATAAATTCTTTCTCTAATTGCCTTCATGATTTACCTAGAAAAAATTATCTTTTGTCTAGAAACACTCAAGGTTTGTCAAATATTAAAGAATTGGAGAAATTTACATCGAATAAAACCCATATGCCGTTGTGCATTTTACAAAAACAGAATTCCACAACATCTAATGTACCTGAAAATCAGAAAACATCTCTATCTTTCAAAACATATAGATACAATTATGATCTAGATTACATACCGTTTCAGGGTTCTCGCGACGATACAGATTTACAACTTTCACAAACAGTTAACAAATTTTCCTCGCAAGACTTTCATCCTAATTACAGTATACAACATGGATTATTTGAGAATAGACACTTATCGAGGTCTTCCCAAACCGTTAATAGAGAAACTAAAATGTTTTCTAATGTACCACCTCTGCCTGTAATTAATACGTCTATCGCTAATTCAAAGATTTGCTCTACGTGTCCATCGTTTACCGATATATCAAGTTCTCTTTCTAACGAAAAGCCAAAAGTGAAATTTTCAGACACTGTTACTCATATACTAGTACCTGGCACAGTAAGTAGTTTTAAAAATATATGTGCATGTGTATGTATGTATATATATATATATATATATATATATACATATAAAATTTTTCTTGCAGACTCAAGTATACAAACAGAAACGATCTACTACACAAACACGTATAACGGATCCTAAACGTGAACTAGCTGAAAGTCTTCCACTTTGTCTGGGTAATGAAGATTACCTTAAAGATTTTCAACCATTGTGTAGTAAGCATTTTACATTAGTACATCTATTTTGTATATGTAAGAAGCTTTACAACACAATTGTGAACAACACGACTTTGTCTAATATTAATTTTTGACATTTTACAGAAGATAATGCTGATGAAAAAATAAAAGAACCTCCGAAGACTGATGACAGTACAAAGATTAAAGTTGTGCATTTTGGTTTATTGTAAACAAATATCTTAAAAGAAATATGTATCATGCGCGAGCATAAACAGGAAGATAGCGCCAGAAGAATAATAAACAAAAAATAGGTCCGACATTATTTATAATAAAAAATAATTGGAGGAACCCGGACTCCTCCAAATTTAATCTAATTTTAATTTAGAGTCAAGATAATAAGAATATTGTGAAGTAGTTATAAATTTTTTGTATATATTGTATAACTTTCTCATGGAAAAGTTAGTAAGAACTTTTCTTCATTAATCTTGTGTATAATTTTCTCAAATTTTTACTATTTAAAAAATTTACATGCTTGGAAAGAGATGCTATTTTTGTAAGAATATGTACAAGTATTATTTGCACTTACAAATAATATATTAATCGCAAACAACATATATTTAAGTTTTATTCTTTAATGTATCTAGCGATAATTTCAAATCAATCAATTCTTTGTCTGGTATATATCGCTTCTCTTCTAGTGAGGGGTCATAAATGTTTATATTTAAAGTAACACCTTGTGGTAAAGCTGCCTCCAATGCTCTGATTAATACTGAGCATTTTATAGACGATACTTCTGACATTTGTATATTTCTTTCATAAATTTTGAGATAATACTTGGACACAATTGTTGTCGTTCCAGTTTTATACTTCTGAATCGTGAATTCTTGAGGTGGTAATGGCCAGCTGAACAGAAGAATATGGATTGTATTAAAAATTGAAAAGTGAAAATTCAGAAAATTAAGAAAAATTTAATGCAAATTTACCCGTTGTCTATGTCGATTTGTACGACATTCGCTAATTTGTGTATGAAAGATTGATAACATTCGAGCACAGGATAATCATAACCTTTAATTTGTACATTTATCGTAGGTAAAAGCGGAAATTTTGATTTTCCTGTCTGTAAAAATCGAAAAATTAACAAAACGTGTTATGTATACTTCAAATACTCAAAAATTTAAATCTAACCTCTAAATAATCTGGCTCGTACAGACTTCCAGTGTAAAATTTTGCCGATGAAGTTTTTGTTGCGAGTAAACGTTGCCTAATCATTACAATCTGGAATAAAAGCAATCATTAAACAACTCAATTGTGCGTAATAAGATAGATAAATGTTCAATAATGTATATGTATGTCTTTTACAAGTTGTCTCACTTGTATGTGAAAATTATATATAAGTCGATCGCAAAAATATACCTGTTTGATCAGATTTAAAGCCATTTCCCGTGCAATAAAATAATTAGACTAATGATTTTCAGAAAACTTTTAATTCATAAATTAAATTGAATTCAGTCGTCGAATTGTCACGCCGACTTTTGATAAATTTCCTCCAGTCGACAGTCGATCAGCTGATTGCTCATGCTTAGTGCTTACAGGCTTTCTTTAACGGCTAAAGATGACGTTTGCGATTCTGCGACGTGTCATTGCATTGAGAACTTTCGTAATAAAATTTTTATAATCGCGCAAAGTTTAATCGAAATATAAAGGAATTATTTTTTATAATTTAAATCGATAAAAATCTTTTACAATAATAACGTAAGGAGCCATTGAATTACATATTTGCACATTGTTGGCATACTGAAATCGAAGAAAAGTATCTTGCTGATGCTATTTGCCACTTGTCTCAACAATTCGCTGAAAAATAATATTTTATATTAACACAAATGCTTTAACAATCGATATTATACATTTGTTAAAAGGATCATGGATATTGAAACAGAGAATGTGATAAATCTGATATTTCCGGAAGGTATCTCAGGTAAGATTAATTATTATTTGGAAATTAATTTGTTTTAATGTATTATTGCTTTTTATGGTACATTTGTATCATTTTATGCAACTACGATTTCAGAATCTTGGAAAGAAAATCCCAATTTTTATCAGTATCTCTCAAAACTTGGAGGCTTTGATGTAGATCAGCTAAGTACGAATACTTTTATTATCCAGCTTATCTATTTAAATTTTGCTTTATACATCAATAAGATACAGATTTATCCTGCCTTGCCTTTGAAAAATTTTTAGGTAAAGAACCTGATCATTTGTCTGATGAGAAAAACTCAGTACTTCAAACTACACAGAAATTAGTCTTTGCAAATTATAAAACTTTTATTCAGACAGCAGAAAGCTCACGAGAGATACTCAATCATGTAATTTCAAAAAATATAAAGTTAAAGTATATATATATATATATATAGAGATCTGTGAAAAGAGATTAACAAATTGTATTGTTTCACTTTTAGTTCAATGAGACCGAAAATCGTCTTGACAAACTTGTACAAAAGATCCCAGAATTTGTAAAGAAATGCCAATCGTTTTGCGATACTTCAAAAGATATTAATGCACATCGAAGATTAAATAGTTTAACGCTAACGCGAAATGCAGAACTACTTGAAATTCTTGAAATGCCCCAATTAATGGAATCGTGTCTGAGAAGCAACCAATATAATGAAGCATTGGAATTGTCTCAATATGCTCGTCAATTGGGAATGAAGCATGGGGATATTCCTATTATCTCGGTACAAGCTTAGCAATCTTTCGTAACGCATGTTTTCTTTAGTATCATATTTATGTTTTATTTTATTTTTGCTTTATTTTTATTAATATTTCAGTCTATAGTAGCAGAGATCGAAAGCAGCTGGTCGGGTATGGTAGGACAAGTAGTTGGCTCTCTGAGAGGAGATTTACCGCTTCCGAGATGTCTTCAACTTGTCGGTTTGTTGCGGTCTATGGATGCATTTACAGAATCAGAACTTCGTATAAAATTCCTTCAAGCGAGAGATAGCTGGCTCCAAGGCTTGCTGAATGCAATACCGAAGGAAGATCGTAAGAGAGCTTCTTATTTAAATTATACAATACGAAAGTTAAATTGATTAAACTGATAAGAAAATTACATTTTACTATATGTTGTAGCTAATCTTCATATGGCCAAAACAATAGAATTATCCAGGATACATTTATTTAATATAATAACTCAGTACAAAGCTATGTTTAACGATGATGAATTAATAATTCCCGGCCGCGACTTGACATTAAATGAATCTGCGATATTTTATCATTGGTTGGAGGAAAAGGTAGATTTGTATAACACACACAAGTATAACGTAAACGGAAATGTGATTAAAGTTTGTTTTTTCTTTTTCTAGATAACGCAATTTCTTGCTACGCTAGAGCAAGACTTACCAGGCGTAACGTCTATAGATACCATTTTAGGTCAGTGTACATACTTTGGATTATCATTTGGTCGAGTAGGCGTCGATTTCACTGGTCGAATGTCGGATATATTTGTACGAGTTATCGGTGAAAGGTTTGAACAGAACGTTCGTAGAACAACTCGAAAGTTCGAAAAAGATATGGAAACATTTACATTGATTAACAAAACTCAACGACTTGATGTAAAAACGGAGTCTTGTATTCATTCTGTAAGTATAAAATAATATCTTTTAAAGTTTACCACATTAATTTATCATTGTAAACTGTTTCATAGGAAAATCCGCCTGAACAATTGGCAGAATTTTATCCTCTGGCCGAATACTGCAACGGGATAATAACTGCGTTCAATGAATTGAGACTCTGTGCACCAGTGGCACTCTCCACTTTATGCACAAAATTGCTACAAGAGTCGTTGCATAATGTGGCGAGAGCTATGCTGGTATTTTACAAGCAAGAACAGCAAGTAAGTTTGCATTGTCATGTAATTTTTATTCACAAGTATAAATCTTCTATTTTATCAAATTATTCGTAGGCATTTGCTGCCGCGGAACGGGAAAACATGATTAAGTTTACAGAATGTTTAAGCGAACAATTAATACCTTATATACAGTATTGCATACATGCAATTTTTCCACCTGCCCAAATTGCAACTCATTTAGGGGTATCAGTCAGTGTATTGCAGAAAGAGGTATGAATCCTTAAATGGCATAAGGCGAATATATATATAAATATATAAATATATATATAAATATAAATACATATATATACATGAGAGATAGAGAACATAAAATTAAAATGACGTAAAATAAATTACAGGAGATCACATATTTAAATAAGCGAATTATAGTAGAACCTGTGGCTGTACTATTACCTATTAGAAAAGATTGTTTGGCTTCCAAATCGTGTACATCTAATATACAGCCATTAACATCACATAATGTAAGGAATCCTTCCATCGCGTCTCTACCAATAGAAACGATAGATTCAAACTTGAGGAAGACTACAGTGATAGAAACAGAAAAATCAAAAGAAAACGAAGTTACTCAACAAGGAACGATATAAAAGTGTGATATGCGAAGTTCGCAGAATTTTAGCGATGATGTAGAGTATTGTACAATATACTTGATGTGTAAGGAAGTATTTAATTATATAAAGTTGGACACTTGCTTACTATTCTATATACATATATGTATATATCTCAAGGTAATGTAAATAAAAAGATTTTTACGATTATCAGGGCGCGCTTGTCTTTATTTTTTGAAAATGCATACAGGAGATAAAAATTTGACAAACAGCGAAAGTGCAAAATAATTGAATCTTAAAGTAAATATAAAGCAATTAGGCTTCAATAGATATCGAAAATATTTATTCTTTCATACACTCCTCCGTAACTTGACTCGGTTGCCCAGTTTCATTCTCATTTTTCTTCTTTTTACTTCCGGAAACAATGTCATCTATTCTCAATAACAGGATAGCAGTCTCGATCGCCGTTTTATACGTTTGTAATTTTACAGACAATGGTTCCCATATACCGCGTTCCTTCATGTCGACCAATTTTCCCGTTTCTCCATCAATGCCCCAAGTAGTTCCTTCTGTTGCATGTTTAGCGCGCAACGCTGTTAGAGTCCTGATAGTATTTGCACCACAATTCTGCGCTAGCGTCCTGGGAATGATCTCCAAGGCTTGTGCGATCGCCTTGTATGGCCATTGTTCCACACCTGCAAGTCCTGCCGCCTTTTCTGTTAAGAGTCGAGATACTGCCATTTCCACTGCTCCACCACCTATTGGGGGGGGAGGGGGGGGAGAGAAGGAAAAAGAACAAAATATAAAATATGTAATAAACCATTCTGACAAAAAAAAAATTATGACTAATCTTACGCACCTGGTACGAGCTTTGGATCGACAAGAAGATTTCTGGCAACATGCAACGCATCTTGCAAATTTCTCTCAGTCTCATTCAAGATATCTTTGCTAGCACCTCTCAGAATGATTGTACAAGCTTTAGGATCTTTGCATTCTGTGATAAAACAGAAATAATCATCACCGAGTTTCTTGATTTCAAAAAGACCAGCACCCGTCCCAACATCCTCTTCCTTGAGTTCTTCGGTGCGATTGACGACGGTAGCACCACAAGCGCGAGCAATTCTGTTAATGTCACTCTTTCGTAGCCTGCGTATCGCGGATATGCCGGCTTTCACAAGGTAATGCTGAGCAAGATCCGATATGCCTTTCTCTGTTATCACGACATCCGGTTTCACTGAAATAACATCCTCGCATACTTTTTTCACATACTCCTCCTCTAGTTCCAAAATCTTTGTGAAATCAACATCCTTCATTATTTCTATATTCGTCTGAGATTCGCCCTTCTTATATTCCAATGGACAATCCAGCAGTACTATTCTCGGATCTTTAATGTAACGTCTCATTTTTGGATGTGTCACATCCTTATTGATCATCACACCCTTGAGAACAGTACTGTCCTCTATCGTACCACCGGGTATCTTCTCTACCTTGGCATAACGTTTAATGTCGATCTCTCTTCTGCCATTCTCCTCGAGCATCACGGTATGAACAGCATCCAAAGCGATTTGACAGGCCAATTCGGACCAACGTCTGATAAATTTAGTACCTGTACAGGAATTTATCACTTGGACTAGTTTACTTTTGTCATTGCAATCTAAATCGATGCTGACTTTTTCATTGAGAATTATGACCATATCTTCCAAAGCCTGACGATACGCTCTTATGATGACAGTAGGATGCATGTTTTGTTCCAAGAATGGTTCGGCGGTAGCCAAGATCTCGCCTGACAGAACAATCACCGAAGTGGTACCATCCCCTACCTCTTCATCCTGAGTCCTGGCAATTTCTATCATAGACTTTCCAGCAGGATGCTGCACAGTGATTTCGCGCAAAATCGCATTACCATCATTTGTCATTACGATGCCACCCATTGGATCCATAAGCATCTTCAACATGGCTTGAGGACCCAAACATGTTCTAATGACGTCGGCAATTGCCTATATATAAAACAAGAAAAATTTGTTATATTAATTCACTATATTTGAAAGTCACGCCAAACGCCAATGTTTAATTAGATTATAGATTGTTCATAAAGAAAATAATGTTTTTTTTATCGAATTAATTTGCATGGTTTTCGAATTATCATATTTAAGTTGATACGCGATATGAAAATCAATGCGAGCAGATCATACTCAAATTGATTTAGAATCTTTGTGACTCTTCAGAAAGTCACACGTGGGCGTGCACCTCGTAAAAATTGCAAGGAATGCCTTATAAGGAATGCAATACATTGCTGACACACACACATATATAGATTATTAGACATACGTTCTCACCTTGCCCGCTTGGATATTCTCTCTCTGTACTTTTCTACCGGTGTCGCGCTTCGTGTTCTGACCTGCAATAATTAAAATGTTCGACATGGTTAGATTGGTTAGAAGCGACAGATACACGCGAGTTGCTGAACTACTCCTAAACAAATGACAGACGAAAGATTTGAACTTACTGAGAACTACAATTGGTGCCGAACCCGGTCCAAACATTGTATTTTTCCTTTATTATTGTTTTTTTCTTTGTCACTACACCGATCGGTGTATAATATAAACTTTTCCTGAAAAGGATTGTGAAAGAAGAGGAACGCTGACGGTTAATTACTATCGCAAAGGCTAAAAATGTGAAGCTATGAGAGAGCTACAACTATCAAGCAAGAAACGCAAAGTTCTAAGCATGAATAACAAACGTTTGATAGAGTTGCAATTATGAGAACGCTACACCGATAAAACAGTTAACAATGAATGACGGTAGTGCAATAACTGTACCTCTGCAGATGGTAACTGATGAGAAACACTTATGCAGGGTGAATTAAAGTCGTTGGACTAACTTTTTATCCTGTAAGAAAATTATTGATTTTATACCTAATTGAAACGTGTGCAGTCAATTTTCTTATATGCCCGTTTCTACCAATGCAGTTGAACTTTAATCTCGGTTCAACTAACTCTTCATCTTTTTCTAGTTTTAAGAATAAGAAAAAGATAAAGAATAAATTGAACCGAGATTAAAGTTAATCTGCGTTGGTGAAAACGGGCTATAAGATAAAAAGCTGGTTCAACGACCCTGATTCACCCTGTATACCACTGTAGTGATATATGTAAGTAGTTTTATCCCTCAAGTTCAGAGGCGCTAGTGTCTAATTTTTAATATGACCCCTATTTTGTCTCAGACTGCGTTCGGTTTGAATGCTTTCAGCACTTCTATCTTTGTTTCATATCTAATAAACGATAAAGATAGAATGATGTTTAAAGCGCGTAAATGATCAAATCAAATGGATGCAGCCTCAGTAGTACGATATTCAGTTGATATAAATCAGTGGTGTAAATTGGTGTAAATTTCATATTGATTGGATCACTTGGATTGATTTGGATTAGATGGTGCACTACATGCAGTATGAGATGATTTAGTTTTCGTCCATCAGTAATACATGTATATATTGACAATATTTAGACGCATTGGTTAATTATGTACATAAGTATTTGTATTTATAAAATTGATGCCTACCAATATGCTAACCAATATGAATCGCAACAGTATGAACTAGTGTGATACATAGTCTCGAAGATGGATACGTGATTGATTTTTGAATATAATTCACGAATTAATACGATGGAGAATACGAACGATAAATTTTTTTATGTTTATAGTTCTTCGTTAGATACAAGAATACAAGTCAAGATGTAAGTATATCTCACATCTGCACTACTGTATCATCTGAACTGAGGTTGTCACATGATATAAGTATCTTATGACATTCCGTCTGTATGATGAAAGACTTTAATTATACTAGCGTGAAATAATCGGATTAGAGTAATTAACATACATAAATACATGTTGAAACATTCGGTCATTATCTCTAATGTAGATTGCATACGTCAATTGGTAATCTTTAGACATATGTCACCAGGTATATTCTATTTGTTATTTTATACAGAGGTACATTAGAGGGCAAGAGACATAGACCGGAATACGACGAGCTACTTTTAGATCCTTTACTCAAATATTCGGGTTTGTACGAGAGTGGTGGGATTCGTGGAGATCTAGCTGCATCTTTGCAGGTATGGGCTGGTGGTAGACCTTTGGCCCTGCCTGTACATACAGCCTACAAACACTTTACTACACGCTGGAAGTATGTTGCATTTTGCATTTGTATTATACCATCTCTTTACTCTAGTATCAACATCTTTTATTTTATATATATATATATATATATATATATATATCATTGAGACGATGTATTTTTCATATCCAGCTGGAATCAATGGGTCTATCTACCAATTTCCTATACGGATTTGCCACGCGACGCCCAGCTATGTATAACCTTGTATGACTGTGCAGGACCTGGTAGACAGCTTCCAGTAGGTGGTACGACTATATCATTATTTGGTAAGCATGGAGTGTATCGACAGGGCATGCTCGATCTTAGAGTATGGCCTGGAATAGAAGCCGATGGTAGTATTCCAACAAGTACCCCAGGGAAAGCCAGAGATCATGGGAAAGAACAGATGCAACGGCTTGCAAAACTGGTTAAAAAGCACAGAAATGGGCAAATAAACAAAATTGATTGGCTGGATAGATTAACTTTCAGAGAGATTGAATTAATCAATGAGAGGGAGAAAAGAGCGTCAGAATATTTGTACTTGATGATAGAATTTCCAGAAATAATGATGGACGGTATACCGGTACGTATGTATACGTGGAATTGTAAATAGATGTATATATATAATTTTTTTATGCGTATAAAGAATTAATAATAATATATTCATTTTATTCTATTACAGTATTCAATTGTATATTATGAAAAAGATGGTGATGAGGTTTTTCAACATAGATTACAGCCAGACGTTGTGACACTTCCTGACTATGAAATTTTACAAGTAAGATTTTACAAAAGAAAATGGCGATATACATGCCTCCAATTATATTAGGCGTTGGAATTAATTCGTAGCGTTTTTTAATGAAAGAATGTTATTTATTTCACATGAGCATTAAAAAATACATTAATGAAAGTACTTCCCATCACTTGTAAAACGCTACGAATTAATTCCAACACCTAATATTTTGAAAATATAAAGATAAAATTTTTGTTCAGGAGAATCTTGTGGAAGCAAAACATCATAAATTGGCGCGCAGTTTACGTAGCGGTGGCAATACTCGCGAATTAAAACCTACCTCGACTGTACGGGATGCTTTGAATACGATATTGGGATATCCCCCGACAACCGCACTTACTACTGAGGAACAAGATTTAATTTGGAAATATAGATTTTACTTGTCTAGTCAGAAGAAAGCGTTGACCAAGTTTGTTAAATGCGTTAACTGGAAAGTAGCCGGTGAGGAACGCCAGGCTCTGGAAATGCTAGCTTTATGGGCTCCACCGGATTCCGAGGATGCCTTAGAATTATTAGGACCCGCGTTTACTCATCCGGCTATTAGGAGATATGCGATTAGCAGGCTTAATCAAGCTCCTGATGATGATTTAATGTTGTACTTGTTGCAATTGGTACAAGCGTTAAAGTATGAAGACTTTAAAAGCATTAAGATTGCTTATCAAGCGATGTTGAAAGAGAAGGAAGAAAGAGTAGAATCGAAAAATTGGAGCACTGAAAAACTTGAGAGAAGTGAAAGATTGGAAAGGACGGAGAAAACTGACAAATTAGATAAGGATATAAGAAGCAGCGATTCTACATCTACCCCGGTTACAACTGTGAGTTAATGACTCTCTTTAGAATATATGTGTATATTATGTTATTATCCGTTTCGTTACGTAATTAGTTTTATATTTATTTACCTTTATTTACAGTCTAGTGAATCGGAGAGTCAACTATCAACAAGCCAAGAACCGCTTATGGATCTAGCATCGTTTTTAATTACTCGCGCTTGTCAAAATTCAATGCTGGCTAATTATTTCTATTGGTATCTCTCTATCGAGTGCGAGGATCAGATTGATCCTGCGATAAGTGCTAAGCAAGATACGCGAGTTAGGGAAATGTACGTTACCGTAATGAAAATGTTTTCCATGATGTTAGCGCAGGGAAATACCATCTGGCAAAAAAGAAGAGCATTCCTCTTACGACAGAAGGTGTTCATTGATCAATTGGTATTTCTGGTAAAAGCAGTGGCGCGAGAAAGTGGAAATCGGAAGAAAAAAACTGATCGATTAAGAACGTTACTCACTGATCCAGATCCAGCGTTCAAGATTAATTTCTCGAATTTCGAGCCGATACCTTTCCCTTTGGATCCTGAAATTTGTATCAAAGGAATTATGCCGGAAAAGTACACATTCAAGTTGTTTGACTATCGCGGTATATTACTAATGTTCATATATTAGGTGTTGGAATTAATTCGTAGCGTTTTTAAAGTGATGGGAAGTACTTTCATTAATGTATTTTTTAATGCTCATGTGAAATAAATAACATTCTTTCATATACATATAATACACACACACACACACACACACACACACACACATGTATATATACACAAGGTGAATCAGAGTCGTTGAACCAACTGTTTACCCTATGAGAAAATTATTGACTACATACCTATTGGATTATAACGTGCATGCAGTCGATAATTTTCTCATAGGGTAAACAGTTGGTTCAACGACTCTGATTCACCTTGTGTATATATACATGTGTGTGTGTGTGTGTGTGTATTATATGTATATTATTGCGTCATCTAAAAAGTATCCGCGGTACTTTGTCACTAGATATATGACCATCAACACACATCTAGTGACAAAAAACCGCGGATACTTTTTAGATGACCCAATATATATTACAATTGTAATGTTTACTTTATTAATTTTATAGAGCAAGTCTTTTCAAGTCTGCGCTCATGCCATCGAAACTCACATTTTTGACGACAGATAATACCGAATATATTGCCATTTTTAAACATGGAGATGATTTACGACAAGATCAATTAATTTTACAAACGATAGCACTTATGGATAAATTATTAAGAAGGGAGAATTTGGACTTGAAACTAACTCCGTATAGGTAAAAACTTATTGTTATGTAAATGAGTGATATTACATAAGATTGTTAATAACTAATGATTCGATCACATTATTCAGAGTACTTGCAACAAGTACCAAGCATGGTTTTGTACAGTTTATCGAATCTACAACGGTGGCGGAAGTTTTAGCTAGCGAAGGCTCAATATTGAATTTCTTTCGGAAGCACCATCCTTCTGAAACTGGACCTTACGGGGTAGTACCTGAAGTCATGGACACCTACGTTCGCAGTTGTGGTAAGCATCATTCATACAACTTTACGAAAAACGAATGCATGTACATTATTTAAATGTTACTCATTAAAATTATGCAGCTGGTTATTGTATAATTACGTATGTATTGGGTGTCGGCGATCGTCATTTGGATAATCTGCTTCTTACAGCATCAGGTATGCATATTCTTCAACGATTTTGTTAAAGAGATTGTTTCTCTAACAAAATTAATATACGCAAGTATGCAATATTTTTTAATTTACAGGCAAACTCTTTCACATCGATTTTGGCTATATTTTGGGTAGAGATCCAAAACCTTTGCCCCCTCCAATGAAGCTCAGTAAGGAAATGGTCGAAGCTATGGGCGGAATCGGTTCCGAACATTATCATGAATTCCG